TTGTTATATAATTATTTACCTATTTTTAATGTTTTGTTATTTAATATATTTAGTGATCGAAATATTTATATATTGTTTTATTTTCTAATGTTAAATTTTATTATTTGAATAAAATTTAAATTGAACAATTCATAAAATTATAATTTATATTGTTACTACATAATTTCGTGATGAATTTTGTAAAAATATATAATTATTAATAATATGAATATTTTTAAAATCTATTATAATTAATTTTTGTCTTTTGAATAAATGTTTCGAAGTTTGTATATAACTTCATTATAATATTGAAATAATTCTGAAATTTTTTAACGAAAACTTTCTTTAGATGGATGTAGATAAAAAGTGGGGGAGAGGATAAATAGGAGTTAGAGATAGTTTAGGAGAACCTCTGTACTAAGTTGGAGATAATTTAAGAGATAAATAGGAGTTAGAGATAATTTAGGAGATAAATAGAAATTAGAGAGAAATTAGGAGAAAGTGGGGGAAAGTGGTGCCACTCGGCTAAACATTAGAAAAACAAACCCCTCTTTATTTATGGTTGTTAGAAATAGTTAAGCCTATGTTCTTTCCTTATTGTTTTAATGGGTAACTAGCGGGGAGCCCTGCGTTGCAGGGGCTCGCTCATAAACTATCATGCTCGAGCTCAATTCGAATTAGAGACTTGAGCTCGAGCTCGAGTCAAAAGCTCAAAAGTTCGAGCTCGGATACCTTTGATTGCAGGTCTTTCAAGCAGCCGAGGTGCCGAGCCGAGGTTCCAAGCCGAGGTCTCCCTCAACTGCCGAGGTACCAAATCGAGGTCTCCCTCAGCTACTGAAGTGTCGAGCTAAGGTTTCCCTAGCAAGCGAGGTCGAGCTAAGGTCTCCCTTAGTTGACAAGGTGCCGAGTTGAGGTCTCCCTCAGTTGTTGAGATGCTGAGCCAAGACCTCCCTTAGTGACTGAGGTGCTGAGCCGAGGTCTCCCTCAGTGGTTGAGGTGTCATCTAGCTCGAGCTCGACTCGAATTAGAGACTTGAGCTTGAGCTCAGAAGTTCGAGCTCGACTCGACTCGAACTTGACTACCTTTGGTTCCAGGTCCCCTAGCAGTTGAGGTCTCCCTCAGTTGGAGAGAGAGTGGCATTCTTGTAATTTATAAGGAGAGAGATGGCATTCTTGTAATTTGTAAGAAAAAGAGAGAAAGTTGGTAGGAGAGAGAGTGACATTCTTGTAATTAGAAAGAAAACAAAAGCAAGAGAAGAGAGAGAGAAAGAGAGAGGGAGAGAGAGAGAGAGAGAGAGAGAATTGGTAGGAGAGAGTGGCATTCTTGTAATTTGAAAGAAAAAAAGCAAAAGAGAGTGTTGATAGAGAATGGCATTCTTGTAATTTCAATGAAAAAAGGCAAAAAATACTGTTAGATTTCATTTCTCTCATCCTCAGGCCTTCCTTCTTACATACACATTTCAGCTTAATATATTTATATAGATTATGTGGAATTAATAAAATAAAAATTCAAAAAAAAAAAGAAATCAGGAAGGGTTTGGAGCAAGGAGAGGCATGGTGTAGAAATACATAGGAGTGTACTATTAGTTTATATTGTAACTTTTTAATAACCAATCCGGTCGAAGTCAACCTAAGTTGGTCAGTTTTCTAGTATTTTCAAACGGCTTTGTTTTAGCAATTTTCCAACTCGACAAAGTTAGGTCAATTTTGATTTGGCCTTTTGTAAACTGACCAAAACTGATATATATATATATATATATATATATATATATATATATATATTTAAATATAATTTTTTAATATTGGAAAGTAAAAAAAATTCAATATTTCTTAGTCTAAAATATTTTATATCATGAATTTAATTTTTTATTAATATGACTACAATTTATTAAATTTAAATTTAATTTTTAAGTTTAAATCTTTTGAAAAAACAAACCAAATCGAAAATAGACCAAAACTCATACAACTTGAGTTGGCGGATTTTCACTAATGTTCATTCATTTCAGGTGACAAACTCCCGACCTAACTAGGTCAATTTGGTTGGTGAAAGAGCCTGCAACTAAATTGAACCAATCCTTGAACACTCCTATTTTAGCTAAATTAATAGTTTAATCTCTAATAATTATTGAAAATTTACACAATTGTTAAAAATAAATTTATAATGAAAATGGAGAAATCTATGATGCTGAAAAAATATGGTATGGGAAGAGTTTTGAACAATCAAAACCTACCCATGAATTTTGATAAATAACACCTAATTGACTACCACGTTCATGATAACAGTTGACTGGTCAAAAGTTTTTCAGATACCATATCTTTTCCATATCATAGTCAAACCCAATGAAAATACAATAGATATCTAATAAAAATACAATAATTACAAAAATACAATAAATACTGAAAATATATTAAATTAGCCAATAAATAGTGTAATTTCAAATAATAGTTTAATCATTAATAAATATTAATCAATAAATTATAAAAATACATAATTAATAAAATAAATTTATAACAAAAATACAATAAATTAAATTTCAAAAGTTAAATAATAGTTGTTTAATCTCCAATAGTTATTGACAATTTAATATTAAATAACAAAACAAAAATAGATTTATAAATAATGGTAGGGGTAAAATACACTTTTTTTAAATAAAAGTGTTAGTGTATTTTACTTTTGGGTCATCAATCCGTGGTTTGAACTAGTGGTGAACCAAAATTTTGTATCTAATGGTAGGGGTAAACCAGTAAATAAAAACTTCACGCTAGCAAACATATACAAAACTAGAAGGTTTGGAACCCTACTTTAGTTTACTTACAAAAATGAATGAATAACCCATTACTTATACTTAACTAGCGGGGATCCGTGCCATGCACATGATTTGTTAAGCGAAAGCTAAACAATAGAAACACATAAGAGCATACAATTGTTTTATCTTCTTAAATTTTTAAATAATTAATAATTATTTATATTTTATATACTACTTTTAATAAGTTTTTTACAATACAGATAACAATAATTAATTTCAAATAGGTTCATTAAACTGATGAAATTGACCAACCTGACTAGGTTGGTTTTCTAGTATTTTCGGTCGGCTTTGGTTCAACAATTTCCCAATCCGACCAAGTTGGATCAGTTCGTTTTAGCCATTTGTAAACCAACCAAAATTGGTTGACCTGACCATAGATATATATTAATATTTTATACTTTAAATATAATTTATGATATAATTTTTACATCATAAATTTATTTTTTTAATAAGGCCACTACAATTTTTTAAATTTAAATTTAAATTTGTAAGTTTAAATCTTTTGAACCGATTGACCAAATCGAAAATTAACCCAAACTGATACAACCCAAGTTGTGTGATTTTCACTAATGTTCAGTCAGTTTCGGTGACCAACTCCCCAACATGATCAGGTTGATTTGGTAGGCCAAACAACATACAATTAAATCGAACCAACCCATGAACACTCTTAATTTCAACTAAATTATAGTCTAATTTCTAATAAGTAACAATAGTTTAATCTCCAATAATTATTGAAAATTTATAGCAAAAATACATAATTATTGAAAATATATTGATAATGAAAATACAATAAATACAAAAAGTATATTATATTAGTCAATGAACTGTGTAATCTCAAATTATAGTTTAATCTCTAATAATACTAATCAATAAATTATAACAAAAATACAATAAATTAAATCTAAAAAGTTAAATAACAATAGTTTAATCTCCAATAATTATTGAAAATTTTCTATTAAATAACAAAAACAAAAGTAGATTTATGAATAAATTGATATATATATATATATATATAAATCACAAAAAACAATAAATAATTATTGAAAATACAATAAATATTAATTTTATTATATATAAATATATATTAAGATTTTAAAATAATTATTAATAAATATTATTTTTTTGAGTTATTTTCTAGAATTATTAATTGATATAAGTGAAATTAGTTATTTACAATATTATATAGTTATTTGAATAATATAATTATTTAAATTTCAAATATTAGTTATTTATTGAATTTAATAACCCATAAAATTATAATTTATACTATTATTACATAATTTCGTTATTAATTTTGTAAAGTAGTAAATGATTATTAATTTGAATATTATGTTATAATTAATTTTTTGGTTTTAAGATTTTTTTATTTATTTTATGATTTCATTATTTTAACAATTTAAAATCTAGTTAAATATTTAAATAATATGTAAAATATTTAAAACCTTTTGTTATTTGAATTTTATTTATTTTAATGTTATTTATTAATATGAAAAATGTTGTTATATAATTATTTAGTTATTTTTTATATTTTTATATTTAAGATATTTAGATATTGAAATATATAAATAATATTTTATTTTTTTAATGTTAATTTTTTATTATTTTGGGTAACATTTAAATTGAATAATCCATAAAATCATAAAATAATAATTTATATTGTTAGTACATAATTTTGCGGTGAATTTTGTAAAAAATATAAAATTATGAATAATATAAATATTATTAAATCTATTATAATTATTTTTTATAATTTTAATAAATATTTTAAAGTTATTATATAATTACATAAGAATGTTTAAATAATTCTTAAACAATTTTCTAATTCAAACTTTTCCTAAATGGATATAGCTAAAAAGTGGGGGCGTTGATAAATAGGAATTAGAGATAATTTAGGAGAGAAACTTTCTACTAAACTAGAGATAATTTAGGAGAAAGTGGGGTAGAGTGGGAAAGGTAGTTAGTTTAGAAAAAAAATTAGAAGATATTATTTAGGTTATTGGGAACGTATTGGGGGGAGAGAGTGTGTGTGAGAAATTTTAGGTAATTTTTACGGGCAAACAGAGCATTTCATTGGTTGTTTAAAAAATGATATAAAATAAAAATATAAAAAAGAAATCAAAAAAAGAGAAAATTCCAAGACTTCTATAGATATAGATTCTCTCTTCCGCGCAATGCAGAACTATTGTTTTCAGCAGTGATCTGCTCCTACGATACCATGAAGGTTCTCTCTTCATTAGTTTTTCTGTGTGGTGGTTTTTTCTATTTTTCACTGCGGTGCAGCAATGCTGTTCTGTTTCTTCTTTTTCCTTTATATTGGGTTGGTTCTCATTCTCCATCTCTTTCTCTTTTATTATACGCAGTTTAACATTGCAAATCCGACCACAGGTTGCCAAAAGAAACTGGAAATCGACGATGATCAGAAACTGTAAGCTCTTCTGTAGAGATTATATTTATCTAATTGTGTAGTAATTTAAAGATGCTAATTTTATCGAAACGGTTACCGTTTGGATTTTATCTGATTATATATATATATATATATAGTTTTATTATTATTGTTATTTATTATTCTTTGGGAGATACCATCATCAGCATTCATACAAACCCACATGCATTTTTATGACAACCATGCTTTGTTTGCAATATTGCATGAGTTTGCGAATGGCTCCAAATAGAAGCATTTTGCAACTGTTTTTAGGGAGAAAACTATGGCTCACTCCTGAGAAGAGTGATAGATGATCTAGAATGTTCGGTGAGCAATGTGCCTGTGGATGCCTAGCATTGGAAATTATCTGATTGATATGAATAACAGAAGTCGATTGAATAGTCAATGTCTGGGATGTAGCGGTTTCGTATTTCATACTTGGAATAGTTTGGATATGGCCTAATTCGATCCCATAAATATATGCACTGATTACAGAATTAATGTACACATATTAGATTACCTAAATATCCTTTATTTCTCTCTAAAACAATTCAACTAAATCTGATTTGGATTCAGAGATTTGAGGTAATTGATCCGACATGAATTGAATTCAAATTCGGCTAGCCCTTTTGAAGATCCGCCAGATGTGAGATGTCGAATTCGAATAATCATTTCCCTGATGCCAGGGATTTGAATTTGGATATGAGATGATTTTCTTTGAATTCGCTTCTGTTTACACCCCTACTGGATATAATAGTAAACACCTCAACTTCAGCTTCATGATTCGTCCATTAAAGAGCCCATGACCTCCTTAAAAATTTATTCTTTAAAAGACGGATCAATATGTAGTCATTCAGTTCATCCATTTCAACCGTTTGGTTTTGATCTTAGATCAGTTTAGGTTCATGACTAGGCTTCTTTCCCCTAAATCTTTATTGGACAATTTTCTATTGACGTCTTTTATTTTGTACAGCCGGGCCTTTTTTGACAAGAGAATCTCTCAGGAGGTTAGTGGAGATGCTTTGGGTGAGGTATTGTACTTGTAAATCTTTGGCTGTTAATGGTTATTGAGTACAGAATGAAGTAGTCATCAGTCAAAACTGATTAATTGATATGATAGAGTAAAGAAGAAAAGAAATAGCCGGTATTTAAGTCTTCAATTTCATCAAGGCGTAGTTACAACTCCTTGATTTGGTCTCTCATTTGCACAGGAGTTCAAGGGATATGTCTTTAAAATCATGGGAGGCTGTGACAAGCAGGGTTTTCCCATGAAACAGGGAGTTTTGACTCCTGGCCGTGTCCAACTGTTGCTGCACAGAGGTTTTACTTTTACTTTTACTTCTTTTTTTTATCCTTCAGATTAGATTGCCATTGCCATTCTATAAATGCTTCCTGAAATTATTTTTCTGAGGGTAATTTTCTTGGAATCAAGTTATTTTACTGTACCCATCAATCATGCATGTGTGATGAGGGATGTCTTAGGGGCTCCATGCTTCCGTGGCTATGGAAGACGTGATGGAGAGCGCCGGAGGAAGTCTGTTCGTGGATGCATTGTTAGCCCTGACCTCTCAGTTCTGAACTTGGTTATTGTTAAGAAGGGTAACTTTACTTGTCGTCCTGTCACTTGTTAAACAGAGATTAGATAAAATAAAACAGAGATTGAACCTGTCGTCCTGTCACTTGTTAAACAGGGGAAAATGATCTGCCTGGCTTGACTGACATAGAGAAGCCTAGGATGAGGGGCCCAAAGAGGGCCTCAAAGATCCGCAAGCTGTTCAACCTTTCTAAACAGGATGATGTTCGGAAGTATGTCAATACTTACCGAAGAACATTTCCAACAAAATCTGGTATGTACTGTACTCCTTTTGGGGTAGTTATACCCCACATTTATCCTGTTGATAATTTTACCTGTGACCTTTACCTATTCTCGAATGGTGGTGTTTTGATGCATAATTGAATTGATGATGCAAATGCATACATATATGCTTCCATGTAAATCCTTTTCATGCTATGCCACTTCGTAACCCAACTATCTGGATGACATGAATGTATGTGGGTGCTTGCATGTTTTCCACATCTAGATGCTGCACAAAAGACCAATTGGATTGTTTTATCCATGAGCATAACCATGTATAGGGCTTTCTAGGGTAACTCTATCCATGTTAGACACCTATAAAGATGCCAGAAGGAATCCTTCTTTTGTATGATTCTGTTATTTGCTTTGTCAGCACAAGTATATAAATGGGTTACTTAAGATACTTGGCTTGAAAAAACTGCTAACCATTATAATCAGAACAATTATGTCCAAGCTTTTGAGCAAATTTGGATTCATGTTGTGATTTTCTATAGCTCTGATTGACTTTGATAATACTGTCTGTGGCAGTTTTGTTTTTCATCTATTGACTTGAATTGTATTTGTCCTGGCTTCTGATTTTGCTATTTTCATTGTATGAACTTACTACATCATTTACAAAAAAAAAAAAAACAAAGAAAAAGAAAACTGCATCAACATTTATGAGGAAACAGGGAAAGAATCATATTTCCACAAAATTGGCAGCACAATGGCCGCTTGGGTTTCAGGGTAATTTCTTGAACAATCATTTTGATGATTGCATGCTGTTTTAAGTAGAAATATTGCTGGAACTCCTTGGTGTTGCATCTGGAAATCAGCAATGGCAGAATTGGGAACCATGCCAAACACCATCTTGATTGTCTGTCCAATTGTCTATTTCAACTTGAAAGGTTTGTATGTATTATTGTCCATTAAACATTGTCCCTTTGTCAAGTTTTTTACTAACCTCTCCTCTGTTTCCATACCTCTGTTATGGAAACATTTCTTCAACATTGATACCATCCTCTGTATAGGAATGTTCATTCCAAATATAATTAACCTTTTTGGACCATACAAAAGAGCCCATCTGGTCTTTCGTCTTCTGGGATAATGAACAATGTATTTCCCCATTTGGGTGGGTTTGGACTGGTTGAATTCCATCCTCTCTTCTGTTTCCATTCTTTACCTCTCATAGAAATATTTCTTCAACATCCATACCATCCAATTTAGAGGAGTTCTTTTATAGATGTCGGATCCAAATATGCTTACATTTTTTTCATCATCCAAATGTCCAAGCTTTTTGACATTTAGATGATGAAGATGACATGGATGCCAGTGAGAACTTTCCCTTCCTCTGGAGTCTGGTCATGGTGCAGTTCAAATTATGCAATCCTCTCCAATCCATGATATATAATTTCTGTTATCCCATGGCTAAGTATATGGTGTAATGGGGGAACATTGTGCAGGGAAGAAATGTAGCAAGGCTCCTAAGATACAGAGGTTGGTGACGCCTCTGACACTGCAGAGGAAGCGGGCCCGGGTTGCAGAGAAGAAGAAGAGAATTGCCAAGGCCAAATCTGAAGCAGCAGAGTACCATAAACTGCTAGCCTCCCGATTGAAGGAGCAACGTGAACGCAGGAGTGAGAGCCTGGCTAAGAAGAGGTCTCGTCTCTCCGCTGCCTCCAGACCTTCTGCCACAGCTTGAATATCTCTAGGGCCCGCTTTTTGCTCTTCTATTTATTTGCATTACCACTTACGTTTTCATATATTTTTGTTCAATTTCCATTTTACATCCGGTGGTCTGAACTCTGAGCACCTCCTTTCAATTATTTATTTCAACCAGATCTCTATTTTGGATTAGTTTCTTTTTTTTTTTCATGTTTGTTTAGCAGTGTGCTGATTGTTGAAAGTTGTTTCTGTAATTCTGTTTGAGTTTATTTTAATCACCGAGAACATCAGACTTTTTCCAAGCTTATCAGCTGAGAATGTGGGGTATAGGGATACTAATTAGGCTGTGTGGATTGGTGGGAAGGGGTTGTATGTGTAGATGATACAGGGTCCCTATTCAATGGACCATGAACAACATCCACAACCCATATGATTCTGCCACGTGGATGAAATCACCTATTGATCTTTTCCTCTTGTAACCCTTTCTAACATGACGTCCAAGTAAAGCAGCACGCAATGGACTGATAATCTGGTGCGTCGTTTTGAACCTAGTTGATTGGTTAAATTTGTCTATTTTTTGACCAAAATCAGAAATTAAAAAGAAAAACGATTTATTTGACTTCTTAGTGATAAAACATTCTTTTTGTATTTATTATATGTACAAGATACAAGATTTATAAAAACATCAGAATTTTGTATAAATTATAGGTAGAATGACGGTTCAGCCCAAGATCAGAATCCGCACTTCTCCGTAAATTATATAATATATGACAGAACAAAATTCTTTAAGTTTCAGGAGAAATTTCATATGGCGCAGAATATGCAAAAGAATCATTTACAGTCTCATCCACTGTATCTAATTCATGTTAGATTAGTTGTGAGGTGTATCTATTTGGGTTCGGACAGAGGATCAAAGTATTGGTATTGGGTATTGGATCGGATAATTTGGATATGGATATGAATACGTTTTGGAAACGTATGGATACAAACGAAAGATATAAAAACACTTGAATGCGCTAATGAAATACATACAAATCACATAAATACATTAATCATACTAAACCAAAAGCTGAATTATCTATGAATAAAATATAAACAAATAAGAAATGCATACTTCAATAGGATATATGAAGAGAAATATTACATTAAACAATACCAAGACCCTGCATCATTCAAACATTGTACAATAAATATCACCCTTTCAATTTTTATTAATTTTTGAGAATATTTATTAATTTAGTATTTTATTTAAATAAAATTATTTTTAAATAATAAATATGTTTTCATTTTTAGTATATAATTTTTTTATTTTACACATAATTGTAAAATAAAACAAATAAATCATTTAAGGTAGATAAAATAAATTATATTTAATTTTCAGTTTTTTATAATTTTTTGGAAAAATTAAATCTTAAATTATTCTTTTCAGTTTTTATAATTATAATTTTCTGTTTTCCATTAATTTTGTTGGGAAATTTATTTATTTAGTATATTTATATAATAACTATTTTTTCAAATAATAACTATGTTTTCATTTTTAACGTATAATTATGTGTAAAATAAAATATATAAATCATCTAAAGTAGATGAAATATATTATTTTTATAATTTTTAGTTTTTATTAAATTTTTTGGAAAATTAAATCTTAAATTATTTATTTTAGTTTTCATAATACTATTTTTTAACTTGTATTAAAAATGAAAAACAATCCAAAAGTACTCAATGTACAATTTTTTCAAACTAGACATGGATACACCTCCATATCGGTGTGTATCGGACCATATCCACCGAATACAGTGCGATACAGCCTGATATGGAGGTGTATCGTATCGATACGCACGACTCGTAGGATACGTATCCACTCATAGTGTCTCCTGTATCCATGATCATAGATATGGATACTATATGCTCCGTATCGGGAGTATCATATCAATACCTTAATCCTTGATTTGGACTTAGGAGTTAGGTCTATCAAGATTCACTCAGATCCAACCGGTTGCTTTGTAATCTATATCTAATAGGAATGACCCCCGTATTAAGTACGGAGCCATTGATATGAACTATTTATTTATTTTTTTTTAAATCAACTATATTAGAAATTTAGGTTAGGTTTTTATTTGATTTTTTTATAGATTTTTATTTGATTTAAGAGATTTACCACATTTTAAAATAGTGGGTTTACATTATTTATTATTTCATTTGAGATTCACAACTTATGCTAATTTGATAAATTCAAGTTTCTTATTTAATTTAAAAAATTAAATCAGGTTTAATTTGTAATCAACATCCTATTTTTAAAATACCAATACCATATGGAGTATTTATAATGACACTTTCTTTAAGGTAGTCTTATATATTGTTTTATCCATTTATTAATTATTTAATATTTTCATCTAATTAATTATTCTCTAATTGTTTAATCAATTATATAATCTTTATTTGTGTTTTATTATTTAATCACTTCATTAATTATTCAATCATTTTCTTATAATTTAAATAGTTATATTAAATTTGATCATTTTTAGTCCTTTTATCTAGTCATTCCATTTATTAAATATTTAATAATGTTATTATTTTATTAATAATTTTTAATTTAATTATTGTTTACTTGATCAATCATTTTTAATGATTTTGTTATGCTAAACCTTCTCTCTATGGTGATAAAATCTGAATCTGGAAATATATTCATGAGAAAATATGAAAAATTGGGGATTTCTTATTGAATAGGAGAGGGGATGTGCAACATCATATCATGTTGGAACACTAATTTGCTTAGGAGTTGTTTGGCATTGTTGCCGTTTCCTGGAGCAACAGTGCCACATCAGCGCCACATCGGAAAAAATGGTGCTCCAAGGAACGAGCATTTGTTTGGAACCGTTTTTCCATAAAAAATGGTGTTCCAAGTCACTCCTTGGAAATCGGGAAGCCATGACTTGGAGCAATGTCAAATTTGGCATTTCCTGAAGTTGCAAATCATTGTTGCCAACAGGGTAGTGATGTGGCACTGGATAATGGGAACCGATGCTGAAAATGTTTCATGGAGCATTGGTACCAAACAGAAAACGGGAATTGTCCTACTTGGCAGCAACGATTCCAAACAAAAATAAAGGCATCAGAAAATGGTGCTTCCAACCACACATGAGAAAAGGATTGGAAAGATGAGAAAACAGTGCTGCTGATGTCTGGGTTGGAAACACCATTTTTTGAGAAAAGGATGTCTTTTTTCTGTTTGGAAACGTTGCTGCCAGGTAGGACATTTCCTAGAACAACAACAGCACATTCTGTTTAGAACCAGTTCTCCATGTTTGTTTTCATCACTCGTAACCATTATAGGATGTCCTCGTTTGCAACAATGAGCTGTAATTTGAGAAAATGCCAAATTCGGTGTTGCTCTAAACTTCGAAGCATGGTGTTGCTTTAAACTACACCTTCTCGAATTCAAAACATGGCTTGGAGCACTGTTTTTTAGGAAAAACGGTTTCAAACAAAATGACATTTTCTAAAATACCATTTTTTCTGATGTAATACTGATGTATCACCGTTTTATGGAGCAACGACATTGATGTCAAACAGACGCTTAATTAACATTTGTTAAAAATAGTAAATTTGAATTGAATATAATACAGTTGGATTGGTTTTTTAATAATTGGGTCAAGTTAAGTATTAATAAAGCTTGGCCGGGTGTGGATGTGGAGTTTATTTTCTCATGAATTGTCACTACTAGACCTGTTCATGGGCCGGGTAGCCCGACGGCCCGGCCCGCACCCCGGTTGGGCTTGGTCATATAATTAGGCCCGCGGGCCTGACCTCGGGCTTAACACAGTAAGCCCGACTGTGTTTCGGGCCGGGCTCGGGATTTGTCAAAAAATCCTGGCCCGAGCCTAGCCCGGCCCGACTCAGTATTATATATTTTATATATTATATAAAATATATAAATAA